GACAAACGACCGCTGTCACTGCGTTATGGTTATGCCAGTAATTAGTAAAATTAGTTACTGCATACGTTTTTGTTTTGTACGTCTTGTGTTTTTATGACTTAGTGTAATCGGCAGGCGACAACTTACATTATTTACTTATATTCAAAATTCAAATACCGATAGTAATCGACTTTCACTTTCATGCCACGGAAAAAGTTGAGGCATTGAGGTTTATTCCAAAATTATTCCACGTTTATATATAAATAATAGGTACCTATAATAGGTATTAAATTCACTGGAAAAGAAGTCTGTACGAGTAACGGTAATTACTTAAGGCAATAAGTATATTATATACGCAGTAAGTACCTACCTATGCTATTACTTATTTTTAATTAAGAGGACATTCGACAGGTATTTGTTTTATCCGTCTTACAAGTGCGGATAAGAGATTTTTTCAAGCTCAGCAATTGTAAATTGTTTGTACATCTTAAATACTCGCATAACTCAATTAAAATTAAAATATAATAAAAAGCCTATGAGATGCCCTAGATAATAATCTTACTTTTAAATTTTATAACAGGTCAATTTACTCTAATTTTTAAACTAATGGAGGTAAACATGATCTGCTAAGTGTAAAATTTTCTATAATATGTTACGCACTTGTAAGACGGAGACAACAAATGCCTGTATAATAATGTTCTCTTAAGTACATATAAATACACTATATATACTCATAGTATATTATAATATTATAAATAATAAAATACCTAAGAACATGTCTAAACCGAAATGTTAAAAACTGAAAATGTAGTCTATATTGGTAATGCCTAATAGGTACATAGGTAATAAGCAAAATTGGAGGAAATTATACCTAAGATGTATATTTACAGTTTTATTAATTTCAAATAATATTTATAATTTGTTGGTGAAGCTTTAATATAAAGCATTAACATAATACTGAAAAGTTATTGTAACTGTAGGCAACTATATTATTATGCGGTGTATATTATTGTCATATCATGATAGGTACCTACACAATATTGATTTGATTAATTTTCAAAAATTGTATTTAAAACATTGGTTATTTTAATGCTTATATACCTAGGTCCCTACAAAATGATCAAAAGTTACAGAACAAAACGAAGAAAAATTCAAAATGACTTGTTGTTATTAAACTGTAGTTATGATTCTGATATATCTCTTATTAATAATAATAGTCATAAAGTAATCAATCAACCTTTGGAAATAATTAATTTAATAGAACCATTGAGTTCATCAATCTGCAGTAGTGATAAAATAAGTCTACAATCACATGCACCAGTTATTAATGATATTTTGTCTGACAGTTTATTATTTGAAGACATAAACAAATTTGTAGAACCTAATAAGAATCTTGAAAATATGTCTGAAACTTTTACGGATACACAAACTTGTAATGAAGATAATAAACCATTGAATATAAAACTTAAAAATTGGGCATTAGAATGTAATGTTCCACATTCAACTCTTAACAAACTATTATATATTTTAAATAAAGAAGATAACCCATCATTGTTTCAAACATTGCCTTTAGACAGCAGAACGTTATTAAATTCAGGTTGTTCAAAAACCACAAATATTATAAATATTCATCCAGGAACATATTACCATTTTGGTTTAAGTGAAGGCATTACTAGACATTTATTAAAATTCAAACATAATGATGAGGTTAAAGTTATAATTGGTGTTGATGGTTTACCACTATCAAAAAGTAGTGGTAGTCAATTTTGGCCAATATTGGCCTACATACATCCTCATTCTAATAATGTTTTTCCTGTTGGAATATTCCATGGTTATAAAAAACCTGATGACAGTAATGCTTATTTAAAGTATTTTATTGAAGAAGCTGAATATTTAACACTGAATGGGATTGAAATAGATAGTATTTCATTTAAAGTTTCAATTATGGCATTCTGTTGTGATAGTCCAGCCAAATCTTTTGTATTAAAAATAAAATCACATACAGGTTTTTCATCTTGTACTAGATGTTTCCATGAAGGCGAGTATTCACAAAATCGTATATGTTTTCCTTATCAAGAACATGGTTTTAAAATCAGAGATCATGATGGATATGTGAATATGGTTCAGAAGAGTCATCATGTTCGTGAAGATGTAACATCGGATTTAATTAAATTACCCAATTTTGACGTAGTGCGGTCTTTTCCATTAGACTATATGCATTTGGTTCTGTTAGGTGTCATGCGTAAGCTAGTTCATTTATGGATGTCTAAAGGACCTTTAACTGTACGATTGCATAGTAAAAAATGTTTAGAGATTACCAAAACATTATTAAGTTTTAAACCTTACATACCTATAGAATTTGCCAGGAAACCTAGACCTATTGAAGAAATTTGTCGTTGGAAGGCCACAGAGTTGCGTCAGTTTTTATTATATACGGGTCCAATAGTTCTTAAAGATATATTGTCAGAAGAATGTTATAATAATTTTATGTCTCTGAATATTGCGATGATAATTTTATTAAGTGCTAATCATACAAAAAAAGTAAAGTTTGCTAGTCGTCTGTTACATTATTTTGTGAAAAATTTTGGAGATATTTATGGTTCACATTTCATTTCTCACAACATCCATGGGTTATTGCACATTGTGGATGATTATGAACGTTTCGGACCACTTGATTTTTGTAGTTGCTTCCCATTTGAAAATTATATGAAATTTTTAAAATCAGCATTACGTAAACATGATAAACCATTACAGCAAGTTGTGCGCCGATACAATGAAGAATTTTCCAATAGTGAATTTACTGCTTCTACAACACCTAAATCATCTTACACAAAGACTCATAATCAAGGACCAATGTTGGAAAATATAACTTGTAATCCTCAATTTGTATCATTAAAATTAAGAAACATAACTATAAATATTAATAAATTAGCTGACAGTTTTATTTTCACAAAGCAAAATCAAATTGTTAAAGTTATAAATATTGCTCATTCATGTGCAACTAAAGAACCTCTAATAATAGGATATACATTTCTTGAAAAAAAACCACTTTATGATAGTCCGATAAAATCTACCAAGTTGGGTATATATGTTTTTGAAGATATGTCTGATCAATTACAAAGCTGGAAAATAGACGAAATAATGCATAAGTTAATGGTTTTAATATTTAAAAACAGAAATATTGCAATACCTATAATCCATTCTGTTTAGAAATGCATAATGACAATTCACATTATGTATATATATTACATGTGTACTGTATATATAACAAATAGTATACCTATATATTTTATTTATAATATTATACTAATAATTGTAATATTTATTATATTAAACTTAAGGTAAGACACAATTTGTCTATAGAACAATATAGTGTACATATATCATTTTATTCTTTTATTTCAGAAAAATGTGGTCAATTGTATTGTTCAGTTCTGATAATAGTGTGGCTGCAGTACCTAGCCATTGGTACAAAAATGGTCAATGCGGATGGCCAAAAAAATATATAAAAAATGTAAATAAATACATTGAAAGGCGTACTGCAACTAATGCTTTAGAGTTTGATTTCTACAGTGCGAGGAAATTAAATACTGAAAAAGCAATAGGTATGATAATATACATAGAACTATATTATAGAACTTATATAACATATTATAATAATAAAATATTTGTACACAATATATTTTGTATTACACTAAACAAAATACTGCAATTTTATTATTCTATTAGTATTTAGTATAATTTTTATACATTTACTATTATATATTTCAGAATCTTTAAAAGAAGCAAAAGAAAAGGCTAAAAAAGCACAATTAACAACAGATCTAGATACTTCTGCCGATGAACAACCAAAACGAAGTTTGGGATCAGCCAAAAAAAAATATGTACCCCCACCTACATTTTCGGAAAACTCTGCAGGTAATTCTCTATTATTAAATGTGTTGCGTATGTTTTAAATTAAACATAATATTTTATATTTTAGATGCGGATAATGATGCAGATGATACAAGTGACAAGACATTTTCACCACATGGAAATCATGATTGTAATAGTATAGTATAGTTAAAAATAATAAAATAGTTTATTTTAATTAATTAGGGTATTAAAGTATATTATTATATACATATTGATGCTTTAAGTTGTATGTAATAAACTGAATTAAAAATTTATAGTATAATATGTATTTGACTGTACACATTTTTTGGTATTTATATTTAAATTTAAATTTATAGATGACATTGGTACAGAAAAAGTAATTGATACAAATATACATGATCAGAATGATTGTAAGTGTAATATAATTATTTAAAAAAATATAAAACAGATTATTTTAGTTAGATAAGTGGTTCAAGACATTTAAGCACTTGTCCTTGTTGGATTTTCATTATTATATATTATTTTAATGGTTTAATTAAAATATTGATTTTATTGCATTTAAATATATTCCTGCAGTGATTGAATTATGGATTGTAGACGAATTAGTTAATAATACCGACAATTCCTCAGTTGCAACGCCTGTAACCTCAACCAGTTTTGCTTCTACATCTGCACTTACTGGTAAATATAATATAATCATTTAAAAAAAGAACATCAACTTAGAGTAATCATTTTATTTTAATATGGCAAAAGCTAGGCCTAAAAATCATTAAAAATTATTATGATAATAATTTTTTTTCTGATACATGGTTAACACAATGTTAAATAATTTTATATTTTTTAGAAATAAAATGTCCTGATGATATTATTATTACTAGTAGTCCTAGTTTCTCAATTGCAATACCACCTGTAACACCCACTAGTCACACTGTTTCTACGCCAATTATTCCTACTTCAGGTAATTAATTAGTATATTATAGTATATTGTATTATAAATTATAATTTGTTAAACATTATTTTTGCCTGATTATATATTTACAAAACATTTATACCTATATTGCTACTAAATATTTATTAATCACTATAATTATAATTTATATTTTATAGATGATTTTCAAAATTTTGTTAAAACATCTTTAACAAATATGAGATATGAATTAAAAAGTATGGCCTACTCTATTGAAGTATTAAAAAGTCTAACAGCTCAAAGTATTGAAAATTCAGCATCAAACGTTATTGGTACTGAAATTAATACATCATGTGAAATTATTTGGCCAGTCAACAATAACGATGAACTGATTACTATTGAAACATTACTAAATGACCAAAAACTTAGGAATAATCAAGTATGATTTTAAAATCTGCATTTAATTTATTAATATAATATGATTATTGTGGGGGTATACTATATAAAATTTTTTTTAATCATTTACATCAGGCTATCGTTTTATCAAGATCAGTCGGCCTTACCATCCCTGAAACAGTCCGCCGTATCATGCAACATATGTTTTCAGATTCATTTATCCAGAAATATTCTTATGTTGGTTTCAAAGGTAAAAACAAATTTTCTGGACTGAACTGCTGCAAATTACTATTTGGTAAGAATGGCCTACAGATACTTATTTTGTCTGATATAGTGCATTAATATATATTTATGAAACAATTTTATATGGTTTTTCTCCTACACGGCATGCCAGATAGTACTATTCCAACAAAAGGATAATAATTTAAAAATCTAATTCATAAATTAATGTTTTTGCTTCCATCAAATTAATAATAATAATGTTACACATTTTTATAAAAATGTATTTTGTTTATAGATGCCATACGGAAAAATAAGAAATTTGAGTTATTGCCTGATATGGATATTTCATCAGCCGTTTCAAAATGGATGGCCCAAGCTGCTAACCGTATTAAAAAAAAAGAAGAAAAAATTAATAACTAACATCATTATTTTATTTTATTTTAATTATTACATATTGAATGTATACTTATGTAACATAGTAACATCTAACAGTTTCGTACCTATAAGTTCAATTATTATGTTTTTTTTTATTTTATTATGATGGAAATGACTATAATAAAATGTTTTTTTATGGAAATTGACCATGAATTTTCTTTTTAGTTTTGATTAATACACCCATATTGAGTATATCATTATCATATCATACTATTATAATGAAATATGGTGTCTAAATATATACAGCATGAAATCATTTTTTTGGGGGGGTTACGATGATAATATGATGTATAAACAAATCATTGTTTTTTCATAAACTGCATATTCAAACATATTATTATTTAAAATGTATATAATAAAATGTATACATATTATATTTTATAAAGCTAGCAGCTGTGTATATATAAATAACTACCAAATAGGTAGCTAAATTAAAAGATTATTTAAACATTGTGGACATGTATGGAGGAAAATATTTATGAAATATATGTAGGAATAATATTGGAGAAATATATTCATAAAATATTTAAAACAAATTGACACCAAATATTTCGGCAATATTGTAATTACATATCTTCAAAATATGTTAACTATATCATTGTAACAATGTAAATTTGAACATATTGTCTCAATGGTGGATTTTTCTGCCATTTGGTTATTGTGCAAACATGGTGAGAATATTTTAAACATCAGAAAATCGTCATAAATACATATTGTTGCAATGATAATCTGTTTTCAACAATATTTAATCAATATTACTGAAATATGATATTGCTATCTGGGAATATATTGATTATTTTATTATATTAAATTTCGCTTACTAAATTTTAATTTATATTTTCAACGAAATATACAATCTAGATTTTATCATACTTAATAAATTAATTATCAGGAAAATTATGAAAACTATAACTTAACTAAATCATGTATTATATTGGATTTTAATAATGAAAAATGTATTGTATGATGTGATACCGTAAATAATATTAAGATATAAGTAATATAATATAATATATCATATTAACTATACTATATAATACAAGTATAAACTAATACTTAGATTAAGACTAGTCTTAAAGTAATTGAAACTTTAACGATGAAAAAAATCGATTTTTATTTACTTCCGGTGAATTGTATATTGTTAACCAAACCAGGTAAGAATATTCTTCCGAAAACAATGATTTACTAGGTAATAATGATTTAATTTAAAAACAATAATGAATAGGTATCTATAGTATGTGCTGGTATATAAGTGATGTGTGTACTTTGGCCTCATCGTTGTTTAAGTACCGACTTTTTATATATTATCAAAATACGTTGTTCTTATAAATATCAACATCATATTAATAATTATTATAACGAATATAATATTTACTGAGCATTTAATTGAATAAAGTACAGTCGGGTCAGGTCCTTCTCAGTAAATTGATGTTCAAAATATTGAAATAAATTTGAATCATCGATGATTTCTAGTTATCTAGTACCTAAATCCAACAATTATTATGACGTGTCTAAATAGCGTCTGTTAAAAATTTAATTTAAAAAAAAAAAACAATATTACCCGTGCTTGGATATGGCTAACGACAACTACTAAAGGTAGGTCGACTTATGTTTTACTCACTTTCGCTCCAGGACTATTTACACAAATGTGTTCATATTAACACGTATTCGTTTCAGATACATACCATATACACACATTTAAAGTGTTTGTAGTGTATGTGACACAATGAATGCCTGCATTTACAATACCCCAGGTTGACTCTATTGTTTCAATGGCTTTTTGAACTTTCAGTGAACTAAACTCATTGTGTGACGTTGGTGGATTTGATTTTGCAACTTACAAACAGCTCTTGTAGATTTTTTAAATTTTATATTCTAAAGCTGATCTGATACACGAATCACGTATATTGAACCTTGTCTCGTTATAATATTTTAGTTTCAAGGCTGTAAGAATCTAATAACAATATAATTGTTTTGTTTTATGCGCATAAAATTATGTAACTTAATACATTTTTATTTAAATACCCCAAAAAAATGAATTTCAACTTCTAAGGAAATAACTTTTTTTGTTTTATAGTTGGTATTTTTGTAAGCTATAGACTAGGTACATGTTACAATATTATATTGTTTGCGCTCATCCATAAGGTAGGCATAAACTAATCCGCTGGAGAGGAGCATAACTGACTTGTGTTCGGCAACTGGGTTTGTTAACATTGTCTGAATTTACTACTTTCATTATTATCGTTAAAAGATAAAAAACATACTTATTCTTTATAGTTTGTTTTAAGTTATTTTAAGTACCTATTTATTATGTGCAGCTTATGTGAGCCTGTGCTTACTTCAACTTTTAAGCATGTAAACTTGATTATTATTATCGCCATAGGTATTTATTTGTACGTATATTCAAGTTCCCTATTGATTTTATTTAAAATATGAATATCTCATTAATTCAATTTTTTTTTATATTTTAATTACTGTCCAGTACACCCCAGTACAGAAACAATATTAAAGATCCTATCTGTATGAAACTGACTTTTGCTTATTCACGAAAACTTGTATTCCATGATACCAATACGGTTATACCATTATACCATTATACAATTATATTATTATACCATTATCAATAGTTTCGCTTTTATATTGTTTCATATTTTTCAAAAGTTCTTCGCTGATCTTGTACAAACACCATCATCTCCTACCCAAGCTGAAATCACATTATTCTGCGGCATTAGTGGTTATCCAAATATTAACACTAACGCTGTTTGTTCTAGATGTCCATTTGGCTTTTGTTTGGGATAGTATATATGTAATATAATCCTTGTATTCCGTACACTACGAATAGTTTAAACTAATGTTCCATTATTCGAATCCCGAAATACTCAAAACAAACGTAAATAGGTCACAAATGTATCAGTATTAATTACAGCAGTATAATACCATTTCACTGGAATCGAACAATTCGTTAAATTAACACACACAGCTTTTATAAAAAATTTGTTTTCCACAGTAATACATAATATTATTTTATACTCGTACCGCTCTATCTGGTGTTTGTTTTTGTATCTTTTATTGATATTTTTGACAATCATTGTTGAAAAAGAAATCTGTGTACAATGTGACGTATGTTACTGTTGACCTATTATTTCCAGTAAATGTATATATTATTTAAAATTATAATGCAAACGTGTATACAATATTATATACTAAGTTTCTTGTTTTTGATCGAATCCGTCTTCTCGTCGGATTATCAATCAATACGCAATGATTTGACGGTCAGCTACGAGCAATACATAATTTTTTTATTAAGAATATGGTGATTATTTTCATCTCTTATTGTTAGGCGCAAGTTATCCATACATACTTTTTGATGTACGTGCCGTTTCAATAGAAATAGATATCAGTTACCGGTTTGTGTTAGGACAATCAATCTATTTTTCATTTAATGAGCGATTAACTCTTAAAAAATATCAAAACAATTTTAGACAAAGTGTACATTGCATGTATTTTTCACCAGAAGAACTCAGTCTAACATCCCATGTGTTATTTTTGTTGTGACGATTGTATCCACGATTATTAACAATCCGTATTTCGTGTACTCTCATATAGTATCTTCCATAATTTGACAACAGTGTAATTATATTAGGTACAATTGTTTTTGACGGGTCAATATCCTATAAAAAAAGCAATCAAACTCAAATAAATTGAGAAAAAATGTAACTGCAGGAGTATAGCATAAACCACTTAGCCAAACGTACTCGTGTATTCCCACAGTAATGGCCAAAAGAGTTAAAAACTGAGAGGAAATCAATTTGTCGCTTTAATAGCTCAGCACTGTACGTGACATTTTTGGAAAAATAACTTATATGCTCAATATTATTATTAAATATATTGGTAGTTTCAAGTCGAAATTGTTAGAGTAAACCATAATAGATTGCATCGAAAAATATATATAATACATTTCTGTAGAAATATTTTATTTATTCCGAAAATGTTTAAAAAGGTTCAAGGTGCCTAATAAAATATTTCCTATTTTGTTGAATAATTCAATAGAGGTATGCTTTGATAACAAGATAAGTGTTGATGTAAGTTGTATAGGAATAACATATTTCCAAATACTATATAACTATATATTATATATAACTAGGGAAAATAAAAAGCTATTATTATTATTATATAAGTTGTAAATGGTGGGTGTATAATTATATTATGATAGTCTGATACGATATATATTTGTTGTTTACAGTTTCAAATTGAATACCACAATATTACCGGTTTTCCAATGCTCTATAAATAAGTCTATAATATGACCTATAAAGTATATAATATTATCCTCAGTTCCATCAATGTGTTTAAGTCAGGAATTACTAGCATTACAAAATGATTCATTTGAAACACATTTGATTTGTTACGTTTTGTTTTAATAACGTAAATACTTGACAACTTTTTTTTTCTGTTACGTGTTTATGCATTTCTCGTACCTATATCGTTATAAATTAATGATATACCAAAAGAATATACAGTTATACAGTTATAGTGTTATACCATTATAGATTCATAACATTTGAAAAAATATACAAAAGCTCCGTTCCGAGACAAAATACATTGTTTGGGACACAAATACAATTTTAAAAATGTGTTTCGTTTCAAATTAAGGTTATCTGTAACGTTATTTATGCATTAAATACATTTATGGAAAATAACGAATTTGTAACGTTACGAGTGTATTTATACGTTACGAGTGTTTTTTATCAATAATTTGTTTGGGAACGATTTTCATCTAAATATTATAACGTTAGGGGTGTATAGTATATACTGTGATGGAACGTATAGGTACTGTAACTGTAACGTTGTGTAGGTAGTAGGTATTATAATGTATATAAGTACTATATTATTTAGGTTATGCATTTCGATACATGACTATATTATGAATGTAACATAATTGTATACAAACTCGAGTTGAACATTGAAATCGAATTACGGAATGG